GATGGCCCATGCAATGAATCACTGACACTCGTTTGGGCAGTAAAACAGCATCTAGGAGGGTAAGGATCTCCTGTGAATACTATAATACTCTGTATAGCTATCCTTATCTCAAACTAGCAAAAATGCTATGTCTTTCTTATTATTGCTTATGTCTTCTCAACAAAACTAGAGAACAGGTTCTGCCTGGAAGTGAGGGGGGTTGGGTGCAGAAGGGGGGGGCAGAGGGCATGGGGGAGAAATGGCCCAAACAATGTATGCACATATGAATAAATGAATAAAAAAAATACTTAAAAGGGGATCCTCTGGTGGTTAGCATTCCCTGTTCCTTCCAAATAGCTACATGGGTGTGGAGGATTAAGAAGTCATATTTGGAATCAGTATAGATTTTGACCCTCTTCCCTTTTGATAATTCCAATGCCTTTGTAAGAGCTGACAGTTCAGCAAGCTGAGCACTAGTGTTTGGGGGTAGGGGATCTGACAGAATTAGGCCAAAATATCATACAGTGAATCCTGCATGTGTGATCCTGTTTCTGACAAATGAACTTCCATCTGTATGTAGTGCCAGATCAGGATTGTCCAGGGGGTGGTCAGTTAGGTCAGGTCTAGCAGAATAACTTTTCATTAATAACGTCCTCACATGAGTGTTCAGGTTACCTTCATCATCAGGCAGAAAGGATCCTTCTAGTAAGTGAGCCTGGTATTTGAGGAGGTAGCTTTCAGATAACCATAAGCCTCCCTTGGAGCTTAGAACTCCCCCTACATCATGTGGAGTGTAAAGTGTCAGGGGCCTACCCAAGACAAGCTTCTGGGCCTCAGGGATCAAAAGGCTTACAGTGGCTACTGTCCGAAATTATCCTGGCTGTCCCTTAGCTACTTGATCTAATTCTTTACTTAGATATCCTATTGGCTGGGGTGGTGGTTACCACTCCCAGGGCCAGTCTCTTTTTCTCGAGTATGTAGAGAGTTGGAATCTCTTCTGTGTGGGTAGGCTCAGGGCAGGATACCTTATTAGAGCCTTCTTTAATTAATGAAAAGCATTAGTGGCAACATAATCCCATTCAATGAATAGGTGGGAGTGCTTTTGAGCTACATTGAGGGCCTTGTATAGGGGCTGTGCCAGATCTACATAGCCCAGGATCCAAATCCTGCAATAGTCTGTTACCCACGAAAAGGCTCTCAACTGCTTTAGGGTCCTAGGAAGAGGAAGGTTAAAATAGGTTGTATCCTATCATTTCCCAAGGCCCTTGTCCCTTTAGTTAAAACAATCACCAAGTAAGTAACTTGTGTCTGGCACCATTGAGCCTTTTCCCTGGATACTTTGTATCCTCCATCTGCCAGGAAGTTCAGAAAGGACTCAATAGCCTAAAAGGTGGTGTCCTCTGAAGGCCCACAAAGAAAAAGGTCAACCACATATTGAAGCAGAACTGTTTGTGGGTGAGCCCATTCCTCTAGGTCCTGAGCTAGAGCCAATCAAGACAGGTGAGGGGTCAGGCCCTCCCCATCATCTAGCCATCTGTACATACGGCTGGGTCCACCTGTGATTCTATTAAGAGCATGCAACAGTATTCTCCAGGAGGCAGAAAAGGCTGGACTTTTAATTGGGATAACAGGTCCTGCCCCCAAAATGGGACTGGTGTCTTGGAAACTATCAAAAAGGAGTGACAGAAGTGGAGATCTCTCCATGAATAGACAAGAGGCTGAATTAAATAGTGCTCTAGGGGCTGGCCCAATATGCCCTGAACAGTTACTTTATTTGGGGACCTGGGTCTAGGGGAAAATAGTAAGGCTGAAAAGCAGGCTCCTATATTCAGTAGGAAGCTGATCTTTTGCTGTTCAACCATGAGCATGACCTGGTGCTCCTCTATTTTAACCATGGTTATAGGAGACTAAATGGGAGGTCCTGGGACTCATCATTGTTCCCCAGAAGGCAATGAACCTGATCCCATCTGGTGTCAGGGGCATGGAGCCTTCCAGTGGTTCCCTTGCAGATGGGGCAGGGTCATGGAGGCACCTTTTGCCTTTGGGGGCACTCCCTTCTAAAATGGCCTTCCTGTCCACAGAAGAATCAGGTCTGCGAGTTAGGGCCTGTTCCTGAGGAAGTCACCCACGTGGCCGCAATCAGTGCCTCCTGATATTTGTCCTTTTTCCTTTCCTTTTCCTTGTCCCTATTATAGAATACAGCAGTAGCCACCTGGACCAATTGGTCCAATGACTTTCCTGGTTCAGTCAGTTTTCTACAAGTATCTGGGACTGATTGTGTCAAGAATTTATCCTTTAGGATGATCTCCTCCTCCTGTGTCCCTGGCCCTACATTAGTATGCTTTTGGATGGAATCCTTCAACTGTTGAAGGAATGCCACTAGAGGCTAAGACTCTTCCTAGTGAATGGCAGCCAACTGAAAGTAATTCAGGGCTTTTACCTTAGCCTTTCTTAATCCTCTAGTATGCAATATATGAAGTGATTTCTTTTCCATTCATGCCTCTCATCCTCCATATCCTTTTGGGGTCCCGGAGGGGAACAGCCTGATCTCCGGAAGGAACTTTCTGCTGTGCCCTCTGGGTCTTAGTGGTGGACAGATAATAATTGTTCCCAGTGTCCACTGCTTGGCTAAGGACCCTCTGTTTTTCTAGAGAGGTATGGGTCTGTTCTAACAGACTATGTCATAGAGTAGCGTAAGCTGTTAGAAGTTCTGGACATAGTGGTCTGGGAACCATGTAACTCCCTAGGTCCTTTTTTATTTCTTTGTTGTTAAGAGAAAAGGGTGTATGAACAAACTCAGGCCCAAATTCACCCCCTGGTATTGCTCTCATGGGAAATATTCCCAGTTGGGACTCCTTTCTTTGAGTATATCTGTTTCCTGGATAAGGAGGGCAGGGGGTCTCGTTGATTCTCCAGCTTCCTCGGGTCTAGATAAATTCCTGTCCCAGTTGGTAGGGCATCCACTGGGGGCAGTGGCTCAGTCACAAGGGGATGGTTGCCCATCCCACTAGGAGATGCTTTGGGGGAAGTCTCCATTTTACTGGAGGCATCTGAACGACCATTGGGGCAGACCACTGCCAGAGTCTGGGAGTCAAATTTATATCTTTTGGCTCACTTGGGGTGATCCCTCTGGTAAAAGAAAAACTGGACATAAGGAATTTCTATCCATTTACCCTCCTTTCTACAGAATAGATCTAATTGTAGAATAGTGTTGTAAAATTAAGGTTTCTGCCTTTGGGCCAGGTTTTGTTGCCTCACAACAATAAAATACTAGGACCTTTTTCTTCAGGCTCTGGGAATCTAGGTCACACCAATGTTTTAGCAAGCAGGCAAGCAGGGATCCTTTGGGGATCTTGGAGGAACTTATACCCATCTGCAGACAGAAAGTGGACCCATGAGTCAAAGCTCCCTAATTGGATGTCTCTGAAAAAGGTCCTGACCCCTTTTACAAAGAGAATGTCTTCCCCTTCGACTATCACCCATCTTTGTGATCAAGAGGCAGGGTTCCTCTGAGACCTGTCTGGATTTGGGTCACCATTTCTGGTGTGGTCCCGCCTGTGTTTTGTCCCTTTCTGTTTCTTATATCCCAATATCTCATTTCTCTGATTGCCAAAGGCCATGATTTCATATAGGGATTTAGAATTGAAGGGCGCTAAAGTTGTTATCAGGGCTAGGAGACCTGGGGGAGGTAGCCAAGTTGGCCTCATAATGGGCATCACAGTCCTGTGAGTCAGATAGCTGTGCACCACAGCAAGGGTAGATTTAGGGTCCAGCATTGGGGGCTATCCTATTTCTCCCTCTATCTCTTGGAGGAGGTGGCTAATTAACACTAAAGCGTCTGCTTCCTTCCCCATGGCCATCAAGTCCTGTACACATTTTGCAGCCACATGGGGTACTATTGTGGTACTATGGGCCAAGTTTCTAATTAAAGAAAAGAGGGACATGTCTGAGCATTGGGGGTGAAAGCTAATTGAAAAGTGGGGAACAGAATAGACAGGGGACTTGAAGAGGGCACAAAAGAGAAATCAATTGTGAGAGGCAGACTCCACCACCAATGTCTGAAAAGTAGAACCCCACTTTTGCCTAGGACAGTGGGACCTACCACTCATTTCTGGGAGGGAATGGGAGAAAGGGTCGCCTGCTGGGAGGTTCAGCCATGCTAGGCATGGCTGGAGGTGCTCCCTGAGTGGGTGAATATCAGGAGTGCCAGACAATTGACAGCCACTTTCTGATTTCCCTTCTTAATTCAGCTAAGTGTATACTGACCTTCAGTTGGTGGTCCTGGAAGGTCTCTTAATATCCTGGATGAGCCCACAGAGATGATACTATCTAGGGGAATGGGTTCTTTTTCTCTTCCAGATAATTAAGAGGCAGGAAAATTGTGAGGGAGTTTAGCAAAGATTCATTGTGGAAGTAGAAAGTGAAAGTAAAGCAGGAACTTCTCCAGCAAGAAGGGGACAGGGAATTGGTAGGCCATTGAAATCCTCTGGGATTTCCCATTTTAAGATTCTCCCTTTCCCCTCCCCTAGGTGGCATGGGGTATACCCTCCCCTTAAATTTGCCAGGGCTTCTGTCACCCTCTGTCCATGCTGTCTTTCCCTGTCTCTCATTGGATCCCCTGCCTGTGTGCATGAGGGGTAAAGTATCCTTTTGATTGGTTCCCCCATCTGTGTGCATGAGCACTGCACAAGTACAGAAGTGCAGGAGACCTCCCCAGTCCCAGGACATGTTGGGACAAAGAAGACACCATGCCACTGGTGTCACATGGAATCCATCAACCACATGGAATCCACCATCTTTCCGTAACTGCTTATATCCTACTATATGGCCCTCACAATTACCACCAGAAAGTATTATTAGTTGCTTGCAAGTACATTCAACAGTAGTTTCACAGTATGGTACCTACAAGCACAATTACCAAAATAAATAGTAAATTATAGTAAGCTTTTATTAACTTAATATAGGTCCTATGATGGTTAGTACATTTCAGTCACAAATGATGGTCCTTTTATCATTAAGTTTTAAAAATGAATATATGGAAGGCATGCAATGCCAAGTTCTTCTTTTGTACATCCTTTAAGACAACATTTATCTGAGTATCCTCTGCGTTTTCTTTGGGGATGAGTTCCCCAAAATAAATTGCTTAAGGCTTTCATTTTGCTTCCACTTTTCTTCTGAAATTTCATACTCTTATGAACAGACTGAACAGATGGGTTGACATCATGTGATGAGGAAATTTCTGTTGTCTTATCAGGGAACAAGCCAATCTTTGTATACTGATACACAGGCTGTGACTGAATCTCCCAATTGTTTGTTACTTCTTCTTGAGAGGTAGAAGTAGAGGCTGTTGATAGGCAAGAAAAAAAATATTTTATTGAAATCTTCCCTTAGAAATTTAATAATCAGCTAATTATTTTTAAATTGTGATTATATTTTAAATGAAATTACTCAAAACATATATATGTATATACATATATATGTATTTTACAGTATTTTCCTACAAAAAGTTAGAAACCTTTGTACATTTTTGTAATAATATTTTTATTGAGATACCATTCACATACTAAAAATTCATCATTTTAAAGTATACAACTCAGTGGTTTTAGTATAGTCACAAGATTGTACAACTATTACCACTATATAATTTCAGAACATTTCTATCACCTTGTAAAAATTTCTGGCAGTGACTATTAGTTGTCACTCTTATTTTCCTCTTCCCCTAGCTCTTGGAAACTGTTGTTGTTTCTGTGGATTTGTATATACTGTAAATTTCATATAAATGGAAGCATGCATAGTCCAGTCTTTTGTGTTTGTTTCTTTCATTTACCACAATGTTTTTCCATATTTATCCATATTGTATCATGTGTAATTCCTTAATTCCTTTTAAGACTGAATAATTTTTCTTTGGATATTCCACATTACATTTTATTTATCTGTTGACAATATTTTGGTGGTGTTAAACTTTTTGGTTATTATGAATAGCACTGCTATAAACATTCACATATGAGTTTTTATGTGAACATGTTTTTTTTTTATTCATATGTGCATACAATGTGTGAACATGTTTTTAGACCTTTTGGGTATTTACCTAAGAGCAGAACTGCCAGATCATGTAGTAATTTTAACTTTTTGAGGAACTGCCAAATTTTTCCACAGCAGATAGAGCATTTTAAAATCCCAAACCCATAAACTAGGGTTCTACTTTCTTCATATCTTCAGTAACACTTGGTATTTTCTATTTGTTATTATAGCTACCCTAACGGATCTGATTGATTTTGATTTGTATTTACCTAGTGATGTTGAGCATTTATTCACATGCTTATTGTATATCCTGTTTGAAGAAATGTCTCTTCAGTATTTTTACCATTTTAAAGTGGCTTTATAACTAAATAAGTAGAAACCAGTTTGTTCTTTATCAAAGTACAAGAAGTGATGACATGCTCAAAGTACAATGAATGGATTATTATTGTTATACTGCTCTTAACTCATTCAGTATTATTAGATATTGTGTACTAGAAACTAAAATAATCCCAGAAGGTAATAAGTTGGATGTTTGTTGGAGTTCCACTATGGCCCTTGCCCATCCACAGTACCTTCTAGGAGGATATATTAGCCACTGTAGGTAGATCCAGCACTTAAGAACCCCAATTCTGCATCATGTAAGTCCATCCTATCATCATAAGTGGATAGAGGGAAGGTTGGTAACTGATCCCAAGGAAACAAATTTTATTGCAGGGAGAAAATGGTGCATTAAAATCTTCCTTCTTTTGACTCCATGAATGAAAAGAGACAGGGTAACAAAAGAAAGACTATATTCTGAAAACAGAAAGAAAGGAAGACCATTGAGAATCATGACAGGGACAGGGCAGATAAAAAGGACAAGAAATGGAAAGATGACAGAGAAAAGTAGGAAACACTCTGAGGCTCCAAATATGGCAGCAATTAGTGAAATGGAGACTAAAAGAACACAAAGACTCAATTAAACAAAAATTGTTTCTCTGAAAAGACTGACACTTAGCAAAACTAACCAAAAGGACAGAGAATATTCAAATTAATAAAAATCACAGATGAAAAAGAGGATGTCACAAAAACACCAATGAAATTCAGAGGATCATTAGAGAATACTTCAAAAACTTATATTCTAATAAACTGGAAAATATAGAACAAATGGATAAAATTCTAGATGAATATGACCTACCAAAATTGAACCAGAAGATCTATTTTAAGCAATCAAACCAAAGCAGTAATAAACAGTCTCCCTACAAAGTAAAGCTCAGGATCAGATGGAGTCATTGCTGAATTCTTTTTTTTTTTAGCTTTTCAGTAACTCTTTTTTTTTTTTTTTTGCTGTGCTGGGTGGGGGTACACTGTGGCATTTACAAAAGTTCTTACAATATATCAAACATATCATACTTGAGTTTAGCCCTCCACCATTTTTCTTTATCCCCTCTCCCCATATTCCTAGAACAGTTTCAACAGGTATCATTTTTCCATTTACATATATGTGTACACAGTATTTGCAAAATATTCACCCTCCTACAACCTTTCCCTTCTCCTCCCCCCTCCCACTGGTACTGCTTCCCCCTACAAACAGGACCTGTTCTGCCCTCCTGTTCTCTGATTTGGTAAAAGAAAAAAAATGCCATTTTTGTTTATTTAAGATAGCTACACAGGGTGTTTCCTTGTGATATTTCCATGTATATATGTATTATAACTGAAATTGTTCATCATCTATTTTTCTTTGTTCTACCTTAAACCCTTTCTTATGGTGGTTTCAATAGGTTTAAAAATTCTATATTCATTCTTGTGTAAAGATTACATCAACTTGCAAAATCCAGTGATCTTTTCCTCACAGTTTTTATCCAAATTAGCACTACAGTTTGTGACACATTTAGTCACCACTTCCTTTTTGTTCCTTTATTTGGTATCAAAGATACCATCTTATCATCCATTCATAATAAACATTTCTTTTCAGTCTCAAAAAAAAACCACCAACAAAAAAAGATTACATCAACTATATTCACTTCCTTAACTTCCTTCTTTTAACCTTCCCTCTCTCATATGTGACCTTCCTTTAAGGTGAGCTGTTTTTCATAATACTGCTGCATTTGTATTAGGTCTATATTCCACATATGAGAGAAAACATATGGCTTTTGGCCTTCTGAATCTGGCTAACTTCACTAAAGACGATGTTCTCCAGTTCCATCCATTTACCTGCAAATGACAAAATTTCATTCTTGTTTGTTCTACCATACTTTTAAAGAAGAACTAATACTCCTCAAATTATTCCCTTAAAGAGAGGGAAGGAATACTATCAAGATCATTTTATGATAAGGACATGACCAAGTGAAAATTGTAGACCAATATCCTTGGTAAACATAGACACAAAAATTCTCAAATACCTACAAACAGAATTCAGCAACACATTATAAAGAACATACACCCTGATCAAGTTGGTTTCATTTCAGGGAAGCAAGGAGGTTCAACAAGTGAAAATCAATAAATGTAATACAGTACATAAACAGAATAAGGTGCAAAAAAATCACAAGATTGTGTTAATGAATGCAGAAGAAGCCTTGGATAAAAGTTAACACCCTACAATGATAATAAAAAATATTCCTGATGAAAATAGAAGTAAACACAGCCCAACATAATAAAGGCTATATATGATAAAACTATAAGCCACACCATACTAAATGGGGAAAACTGAAACCACTTCCTCTAAAGCCAGGAATGAGACAAGGACAGCCACTTTTTCCACTCTTATTCAATATAGTGCTGGATACATTAGCCAGAGCAGTTTGGAAGGAGAAAGAAATAAAAGTAGGTCAAATTATTCCCTATTTGCAGATGATATCTTCTACTTAAAAAAAACTTAGATCTTATTTATTTAAAAAGGCATCAAAAACATTTGTGGAGAAAAAGGCAGACTCTTCAACTAATAGTGTTTGGGAAAACTGAGTATGTTGAAGACTGAAGCTAGACCCCTATCTCATGCCCTCCAAAAAATTCATTCAAAATTAACCAAAGATCTAAATGCAAGAACTGAAACTTTGAAACCATTAGGGGAAAACACTTGAAGATACAGGCATAGGCAATGACTTTCTGAATGGGATTCCAGTTGCTCAGGAAATAAAGAGAAAGAAATGACAGATGGGATTGTATCAAATCAAAAGATGGGATTGCATAGAAAAGGAAACAACGACCAAAATCAAGAGAATCTACAAGAGTGGGAGAAAATCTCTGCCAACTTTTCATCAGAGAAAGGATTAATATGCAGAATATATGTAGAACTCAAAAAAATCAAACACTAAAAGAACAAATAATTCCATTAATAAATGGACAAATTAATTAAACAAACAGTTCTCAAAGAACTACAAATGGCCAATAAATCCATAAAGAAATGTTCCACACCCTTAACCATAAAGGAGATGCAAATCAAAACAACCTCGAGATTCTATCTCACACCAGTCACGATGGCTGTCATCAAGAAAACAACAAAAATCACTAGTGAGGTTGCAGGGGGAAAGAACTCACATACTGTTAGGTGGGAATGTAAATTAGTGCAGTCACCATGGAAATCAGTATGGTGGTTCCTCCAAAAACTAAAAATAGAACTATCATATAATTCTGCTGTAACACTCCTGGGCATATAACTGAAGGAAACTAAGTCAGCATTCAGTAGAGATACCTATATACCCATGTTTATTACAGCACTATTAACAATAGCCAAGCCATTGAATCAGCCTACGTACACATGAAAGGATAAAGAAAATATGGTATATATACACAATCGAGTGTTATCCATCCATAAACAGGAATAAAACTATTATTGCAGGAAAATGGATGGAATTGGAGATCATTTGTTATGTGAAATAAGCCAATTACAGAAAGACAAATATAGTATATTTTCTCTTGTATGTGGAATCTAGAACTAAAAATAATTACATGAATGTGTAAGGAGGACTGTTGAGGAGAGGAGCTAGTAGAAGAGGAGAGGCTGCTGAAGAGTGAATGTGATCAAACTACATTATACACATTTATGACAACAGAATGATGAAACCCATCATTTTTGTAAAAAGAAAAAAGAGAAAAATCTATCACAAAGGCTGATTGAGCCAATCAGATTACCTGTTTTTAAAATTGGCACTATGAATAAGAAAAAAGATGAGTTTATGACATCCAAAGCTGAAATGATTTTATTAGGCTTGCCATGGAATAAAGGAATGTAAATATATATAGGAGGAGGGAGAAAGGGAGGAATTGGGGAAGGTAGAAAGAGTCTCATTTGTAGGAACAGATGGAACTAGAGGTTGTCATGGCAAATGAAATAATCCAGACACAGATCAGCAAATATTGCATGTTTTCTCTCATTTGTGGAATCTAGAATTTAAAAAAATACTTGAAAGGAGTAGAGGAATTGTAAGGAAGGGTAATGTGACCTTGGAGGAGGAAGAGGAAAGAGAGTTAAGAGAGGTAGTTGGGAGGGTAGATATTGATCAAAGCACAATATAGGCATATATGGAAATGTCACAGTCAAACACATGTATAATTAATATGCATTCATAATTATAATAAAAAAATAAAATATTTTTTAAATCAACTTATGAAAATTACATTTCTCTGACCCACAATCACTAACTAAAACATACTTCACAACTATTTAAACAGAATCAAAATAAGTATTAAGCATGAACTTAACCAAAAATACAAAAATTCTACATAGTCTTTGTTTCCATTTCCTTCATGGGGAACAGGAACTGTTTCTCTCTCTTACTCCCCCCCCACACTTCTCCATACTTTATTCTGTTATTCTAAAATAAATCCTTGCTAAAACTTCAAAAAAAATCTCCATAGAGAAATAAAACTATATATTCCATGCATCCCAATTAATTGCAGATTAATTTTTAGAAAAAAGAAAATAACCATACTCTTAAGTACATACATAAGAATAAAGGATGGTGGTTAACTTAGTCAATCTTAAGGGGAAAAACTAAACACTGGAGTCCTGTCCTCCCAGATAAATGACATCCCAATGAGTCACAGTATTAAAATAGTGTAGTAATGCTATAAAGTCAAATAAAAAGATCAATTAGATAGAATAAGAAGCTCAGACAAGCTTAATAAATAATAAAGGTGACCTCACAAATAAATGGGAAAAAAGACTGGTTAGTAGAAGAAGTTAAAAAAAAAGTTGCTTTCTATATAGATAAAAATAAGACTTACTGAGAAAACTAAAACAGTAGTATCCCTATGTAGGCCAGAATCCAAAATGGACCCCAAAAGAATTAAGGACATATGTGAAAGTAAAATTCAAAGTTCACACAGGGACAAAAATGGACCTATAATATGATATTTCAAAAGTAGGAACAATAACAAAAAATAATTTTTGATTGGTTATATAAAAGTTTAAGCTTTCTGACAAATAACACCTATAGGCAGACAACTAAATTGAGGAACATATCTGTGATACTAAACTCAACAACTGTTTACTATTGTATCTAGAGTTGAGTAACTCTTTCTAATCAAATGGAAAATTATAACAACTCCAACAAAAATGGGGAAATATATGAAAGGGAAATTATCAGAAAGAGAAAGCTAAAAGGCTAACATGCCTATGAAGACAGTTAATTAAACCCAGAGCAAGTTAAGACAAAATGAGATGCCATTTCATGCCTATCACATTGGCAAAAGTTAAGAACCATGTAATACTAATTTTTGGCATGAATATGAGTACACCAGACTGGTGGAGCAATTATAAACTGGTGTGACTGTTCTGGGGAGCAATCTGACACATCTCAAGCAATGTAAGCATACTTATGACACGGAAATTTCATTCTTAGATATATACACCAGAAAAATATTTCACACAGTCTGTAAGGGGACACATACAATGATGTTCACTGCAGTGTTATATATAGTGGCAGGGAGTTGAAACAGGTGAGGACAATTGTGTTCTAATATATTGTGTGATTTATTTTGTTTTTCTGTCTTTACTATTCCATAAACTTCATAAGGGCAGGAGTCTCTTACACCAAACACCAAGAAGAATGCCTAACACAAAAAGGGTCCTCAAATTTGTTGAATTAATATATAGTATGAGAAAAGGGGACTTGCACAGACCAGTTGTGTGATAACTAAATAATAAATACCAAGAACAGACATACAATAGACCAAAAATTGGAGAATACGATCAATCTAACCGGGAAAAAAGGTTACAAATTATGAAAAGCTGATGTGGAAACATTAATGATTTCACCTGGCACTAAGAATTGGGAAGAACCATAGTTAGGTAGGAATTAGAATTATGATGTTTGCTTCATGGTACCATACTCTGGGTAGGTCTTGGAGACATTGTTCACACCATGATCCACTAACCAGAAGCATACAGTTTCAGATTCAAGTTATCTATGCATGTTTTTTTTTTCTGAAAAAGAAAACATTTTTAGTGTCACTATGCCAAACTGTCTTTTCCTGTGCCAGGCTTGAATGGATCATCAGAAGATTAAAAACTGCAGATGACTGACTTGATTTGATATAGCCATGTGTCCTGCTGGTAAAAGCTAAATAAAAATAAATTTTTGAGCCACGCCACATGTAAAATAAATGGATATATGTACACACACATGCATGCACATATTTCTCTGCAACTTCTAAATTATTCATTGAAAATTAACAGCACAAAACAAATACCATTTCTCCTTATAGATTGATAGTCTGTAAAACTTCAATCAAATTCATAGTGATAACCCAAACCTGTTTTTCCTTCCACATATTTCAAAATAACTGGTTTTCCTGGTGTCTGATATTTCTACTTCAACAAATTGTCTTTTACATAATTCCCATAGTAGCAGGTTAAAATATATCTAAAATATTATCAGATATATTTTTATTCCCTACAAATCTTGTTTCATTGCAGATTCTCTCTCATTGAACTAATGACACTTATTCTTCTAGAAGAGTGTAAATAACACCTAAAACAAAAGGTCCTTAATCAGCTCTGAGTTTTTAAAAGTTAAAATCATGAAAAGTGTCTTCAGAGTAGACCCTGTTGAGAAAAGGGATTCCAAATTCTCTTTAAATAATAAACTCAGGTTTGAAGATCTGAAGGTAATATTTTTACTATAGCTTTAAGTGGTGGGAGAAAAGTATTTGATGTGGAAGAAATGCCTATTCAACATGAAGCACAAAGGGAATATACTCACCCTCCTTATACTTCAAGGGGGATTGAGCTAGTTAATTGCTGAGGTTCCTAGGTTAGGGAATTTGGAAAGCACATGCTACTTGGGAAGGCTGCAGTTTCTTATTGAATTCTATGCCAGAATATGAATTCTAATGAAATGCCTGAAAAGATTGTAACAATGAAAGAGTTGTTGTTTAAATGAATAAGATAGCAAAACTAAAATGACTGAAGAAATGAGTAAGGAAGAGGAGGAAGAAAAAGAGAGGAGGTACACTATTGTAATTCAAAAGTGTTGTCCACCAACTTGCAGCATCAACATCACCAAGGAGCTTGTCAAAAATTCAGAATGTCAGTTACAACCCCATACCTACTAATTCTGATTGTATATTAACAGGATTCCCAAGTGATTGATATACACATTAAAATCTGAGAATCACTGAAATAAGTCACAAATCAAAGACTGGGGAGAGACACTTCATTGTAAGAGAAGGACAAGGAGAGTTTATATCTAAGTAAGTTATATGATGGAAAATAATCAAGATTCAGTCTGATGGTTTCTGACTAAGTTTTCATTCCATTGGCAGCAGTAAATTTATGCTTCATTATTCATTCAAAATTAAGTTAATGAGTGCTTACAACATGCCAGGCATTGTTTTGGTTTGTTTCAGTCATCTACATTAGCATCTATTAGCATGAGAGTTTACTTGTTTCCTTAACTTCAGAACTCTTGACTTTGGCAAGATTTGTCCAAATTGAATCAAGTGAATTACTTTAAAAGCCAATAATTTCAATGGTGTTATCATTATTTATATGCATAGAATATGAACAAAATTCATTTTCTATTAAAATGGAAACCATATTAGGAATAAAATGTTAGCACCAAAACATAAAAATGTAGCTGGAAGATACTCATGCATCTGAAACAAGAGTATTTGTCCTGGCCAGATGCACACATGTGATCTAGCACTCAGGATGCTAAGGCAGAATGATCAAGAGTTTGAGGCTTGCCTGGGCTTACATAGTAAGACTCTGTTTCAAACAAAACAAAACAAAAAACACACAACCAAACAGCAAAAGCAAAAACCCTAAAGAATATTCTTGGTAAAAACTGCTTGAAAGCATCAAGTATTAACTCAATACACATTATGCACATGTTATGTGCTCAGGAAAAATATGCATGAGACAGGTATGGTATGCATGACTGGTTTTATGGGAGTGAAGTTTGTGCAGCTGCACAGGCTGTGCACTAAGTTTGAAAGTCCATTGTGGCAGACTTGAAATTCTCAGTAATTTTATCATTGAACTTGTAAATGAAGTGCAAGTATGTGATGGGAGAACAGACCATGCCTATGAGCAGAGGAGATTCAGACAAAAAAGGTTACAAAGCCGGCAGGGAGAAGGGGGGAGAAATGACCCAAACATTGTATGCACATATGAATAAAAGAAAAAAAAAAAAAAGGTTACAGCTTTACGTTTTATTACATTTGACCCCTTTCTGCTTTTAGAACAAGGGCCCTCTTTTTATCTTGCAGTCGGTTGGGCCATTTATGTAGCCAGTGTTGATAGTCAAACAGAACTGTTGCCTGTGCTAGATACTGTGGTAGAAGGGAAAATGTAGCAATTGACTACAGAACCGTCAATGGTGATTTCAAAGGAAAAACCGTAAGTTGGGCTTTGAAAGGACAAAAAGGTTTCCAGATGACAGGACACTCCAGAAAAGTGAAGCTAAGGAAGGAGCAGTGTTCCTTGAAAATATGTACACTTATATGTGTACACTTATTTCCTCTAAATTAAAAAAAGAGCTTCTTAGAGGTTTTATGAATTTTTAATATACTGGCTTAAAAATTTTTTTTTTTTCTGAATTTACCGGTGTACAAAGCACAAATTCCATTTTCTGCAGAAGCTCACTGTCTGGCAGGGCAAATGTGGGGACAAGAAATGTACAAATTAGAACAAATATGCCCTTACTTTAAATTTTACCTGGATTTGTGACTGTTTCCCAAACCGGTAAAGGGGTTTGGGGGCTTTCCAAGTCATCAGTGCTTAAGGCTTCAACCTTCTGCGAAGCTTCGGAAATCAACTCTGCCAAAGGGGTTCCCTCAAAATGGAAGTGGCTCCAGTTGGTGTGGCCACAGAGTTCTAGTATTTCTCTCAGCAGGTGCCTGCCACACAGCTTCCTGCGTAAGCCCACGTCTTGGTTCAACTCACGGGAGAACGGAACCAGTAGGAACCCCAGCCACAGCAGGCACAAACTGAGGAAATGCGACATCCCTGAAGCCCCCAGTAAAGGCTGTGCCTCAACTGCCGTCTGCCCACAGCCTGGCCCTTACTGGGCACCCCTCCCCCGCCGGCGCCCATGCACCAGGCAGGCTTCCAAGCCTCTGCTGGTCTCGCGAGAACTCCGAGATGAGGCGCGAGATGTTGCTGGCTGGGACTTCCTGTCTTCCTCTGGCTCTCAGGAAATGGAAGCTAGCACCCTCTTGCCCTAAAAACGGAAGCCCTGGATTTGATTCGTTTTTTTCTTGCCTTACTCACCGGGAGACTCTAAATGAAACGAGAGAGCGTTGGACCCTTAATGATTTATAAAGTAGCTGTGAAAGATAGTTCTCAGGGAGCTGCGTCTTCCTGGAATATATTGCTTGCTTTGTTATCTGGTAGTTAATGAAGGGCACTTCCCTCTGACAAAAATCGTAACTCCTTCAGTAGGTGTGTTTACATTTATTTGTGTGCTTGTTTAATCAACTCATTTGCCAGATCCCTAGGCTTCAGGAAAGTGAGAGCCATGTGTCTTGTTTCTCATTGTATCCCAGTCCTGATTAATAGTTGTCAATCAAATATGTGTTGAAATATCTGTGTTATTAGAGTATGTGTATGTGTGTTTTAAAATTAGATTCCAAGCTGCTTTTGAAATTTCCCATCAGGTCTACCAGGAGGAATAGGTCTTAGTCTCACTTTTTAAAGCAAGGAGGTAATAGAGGGCTGCTGTGCTGAAGTACCTGGGATGGAAGTGTGATTTTTAGGTTAAAAATGATAGAGGATTGTTTATTGTCAAATTGTAACTGTCTTGTAATAATGACCCCACCCCTGGAGGATTTGCATTCTAAGAATAACTGTGGACTACAAGTTAAGATGGGATAATTTTGCTTAGGAGGAAGGAAGCAGGGAAGTGAAGCATAGTCAGTATGAGTTGCTTTATCACTTTTAATGGAATTTTTTTTATTGTTAAGTATGTTAGCTAGGAAGGATGTACTAAAAGCCACAGGAAGCAGTTAGGGGTTGGGAGAGTGTACCCAAGAGGATGCCAAAACCATGGAGAGGCACCAGCTTAATAGTGGGTGATCTTGTCACCACTTCTCTTTACAATTTTTTTCCTCCTTCACTTTTATGTCTTCTGACTCTGTGTCTTTTTCTCCATTTTGCATTTCTTCACTTTGCCCTACTTCCCAGTGGCATCCATGAATGCTGTATTAACTGGGAATCAGATTTTTTTAAAAAGTTGATGACCACAATTTCATTAGCTTCTTTGAGAAGCAACTTGTATCCAGACTGTACTGGCTCATGAATCTTAGTCAGAACTTTATTAGGGAAATGCTGAGAAAAGAAAATATCCATCATACCTTGAGAAAGGCTTAAACTCTCAAGCAATATGTCAGAACTTGGCAAAGTTGATTTAGACTCCCATTCCTTTTGCACTCTTGATGCCCTTGTCCTGCTTTGTATTGTTCCATACCACTTACTACAACCTGACTTACTATACATTTTACTTCTCTGTATGTTAGCTGTCTGTTTCCTTTTAATAGCATATATGCTTCATGCAGGCAGGAATTTTTTCTCTTTTATTTACCTTGCTATCCTCTTTGCCTTGAACAGTGCCTGACACATAGTAGATGCTTAATAATTTAAAGTTAAAAGCTACAATTAATAGCATTAGCAACAAATAATGAGATGATAAAAATAAAAATTATATAATGTTTGGTGAATTAATGAATAAATGAACAAACTCCTTGAGAATTTACTACTTTGTGTCACACATCATACTTCTTTCATAATTATTGTTCTTTATTGCACTATAGTGAATTTTTAAAAAATCATGTAATTATCTTTGTACTCTTTGTAAGCTCATGAGTGGAACCATTTTTTGTTTATTTTTATTGACCAGTGCCTAGGGCAGTGCCTGCTAAATACACCCTTAATAAATATCTGTTACATGAATGAACACATTTTAAACTGCTGATTGTTATTATTAGCATAATTCAATGAACTTATTTAATCAAACAATTTATTTAAGTGACTTATTTTGAGTAACTTATTATTAGTATTGAATGAATCCTGACTTACTTATTAGTATCCTGTCTTATATACCTTATTCTAGATCATTGCCATCAAATGGAGCTGTCTGATAAATCACATTTGAGTACTTATAAGTGAAGATTTCATTTATGCAAGAAAAAAATTTAAGTGATTATTCAGTTATACTAGAATATTTATTTCTCACATTGTTTTAGGTTAATATCTTGTTATAGATACCAAGATTTCCATGGTTTAACCCTTTATATTAATATAGGTAATGTCTTTTTCTTTTTTTTTCTTTCTGTTCTATTATCTGTCTTCTCCACTATGTTACTTTTTTAGTACTCTATTCTTAGTGCTTGTCGAATAGTTATTCAAAAATATATTTTGAAATAATAATAAAAACATTTGTTCTCTTGGCTTCTGGAGTAAGATTCAGAATAGAAGCTTTCTCTATGTGACTGAAATGAGAAAAGTCAGAGTAACAAAGGACAGACTATTCCAAAGAGAGGAAGAGCACTGAGAATCATCAACAAGGTGACAGGACAGCAGAAAAGCCATGGAGAAACAGGCTATAGCCACATAGAGAAAGTAGAAGACATCCTTCAACTTCAACCCTGGTTCCCCAGGGAAGAGAGGAAAGGGAAGCCACAATAACAAGGTAAGTAAGCCAGGCAAGCCCTTGTGACAACAGATTGGCAGCTCTTGCAAGTCTTAAAATCTGTGTGGAGATTTAGTGTGACAGTGACTCCTTCCAGGTGGTAGGCCAGCATTGGAGAAGAAATCCACTTTGTAGCTCCTTGTATCTCAGAGAATTATGTCATTTGAGAAGGGGCTTACTGTTTGAGACTGAGCTATGCTGGGGACCTTAAAACAAGAAATAATCACAAGTTAGGGAGTCTAGGGACACCCTAGCACTATGTCTGGGTAGGAGACAGCTATGAGAGGCAGTCCTGGAGAGAGGGAGGGTCATCAGGCTTTGAAGGGTGTGGTGGTCTGTGCATCTGCAGGTTTTATCAAGTAATGAGCTGTAGGTCCAGTCAATTTTCCCATCCTCCTTCTCACAGGGTGGTTTGTTTGTAGTTGGAATTTGGAAGTTCTCAATCCAAGAGTCAGAGTGCCAGTTTCACTCAGTTCTGTCTCCAGTGTAGCTTTTAGTCTTCTATTTGCTTACCTCACTCTCCAAGATATTTGGGAGACACCCTGAGGCTTGGACATTTGCTACACTGATATAAGAAGCTTTTTCAGTGTTCTTTTATTTATTGAGACTTACTTTATGGTCTAAAATATGATCTATTTTGGAGAACGTTCCATTGACTGCTGAGAAGTTTGTATATTATGCAGCTGCTAGATGAAATACTCCTTAATGTCTGTTAAGTTCATTTGGTCTATACTGTCATATAATTAGGAAGTTTCTTTGCTGATTTTTTTGGCTGGGTGATTTGTCTATTGGTGAAGGTGGGGTATTGAAGTATCCCATTATTATTGCATTGGGGGTGAGTCTGTTATGGTTTCACATGTAGTTTCATTTCTTAATGTGAGAATTTTTTTTTCTGTGTTGGAGATTGAACCTAGGGCCTCGCATATGCTAAACAAGTGCTCTACTACTGAATTATATCCCCAGCCCAATGTGAGAAGGAAAGAATCAAACACATTCTACTCAGTAAACCAGCAAAATCCTAACATGAACAAGGGAGAAAGCAAGAGAACAAAGAGTACTCAAATCAATCAGGAAAAATTACCAGCAAAAGTATAGGTATTAGCAAATACCTCTTAATAATAATCCTAAATGTAAATGGTCTTAACTCTCAAATTAAAACATGCAGAATGGCTGATTGGATAAAAAAAAAAAGGGACCCAACTATTTGTTGTCTGTAAGGGACACACCTCACTAGCAAAGACACACAGCAAGAGAGTGAAAGGATGGAAAATGCTTTTATCTCTGACATGTAGACTTCTAGCCAAAATTAGTCAGAAGAGATAAAGAAAGTCACTATATATATTAATAAAAGGAACAACCCAGCAAGAAAGTATGGTAATTATAAATTTATATGGACCTAATGCTGGTCCACACAGTTCATAGAGTAAACTCTACTGGACATAAAGGGACAGATAGGTCCAGATACAATAATAGTGGATGACTTCAATACTTCACTCACATCAATACATAGATCATCCCTACCAAAAAACTGAGTAAGAAATTTCAGAGGTGAACTGTACCATGTATCAGATATCTGCAGGATATTCCATTCAATAACTGCAGAGTACACATTCTTCTCAGCAGCCCATGGAACTTTATCCAAAGTAGATCACATTTTAGGTCATAAAGCAAATCTCAATAAACAAAAGAACATCAAAATAACTTCTTACAGCTTATCAAATCACAATGGAATAAAATTACATTAATAGCAAGTGTGAAACTACAAAAACTATATAAACACATTTTCAAACAATCAGTGAGTCATTGAAAAATCAGCAAGGAAGTCAAGAAAGTCAAATGAAAATGAAAGTACAATATGCCAGAACCCGTGGAATGTACAAAGGCAGTATTAAGAGGGAAGTTTATAGCTAGACTGCCTACATTAAACTGATAGGGTATTTGCCATCTTCATTCTTGGCACTGGCAGAAATCTACATGTAGCAGGTCAAGCCCTTGGTCTCAGAGAACAAGCTCCTGATTTGTTTCTGGAGGATGGAGAATTCCATTTCCTTCTATATCACAATATCTATCCCCTGCAGTGCAGGACACCTACCAGGCTGAGGTCACAGTCATTCTGCTGGACCAAGTTAGGTTTATAAAGCAGCTACCCCACCCCCACCTCAACCACTACAGTGGAATGTCTGTGGTGTCCCAGAGATGGAAATATGAAGGAATTTCTGACACCTAGAGGAGTTCAAATTTAGATAATAGCTCACTTCCCAAGATGGGTCCTGACTATAACACCCTCTGCTGGGTGATAATATGGGATCATTTTCCAA